CGAAGGCAGAGAGTTCAACCGAACAGTCGGTTCAGAGGTGAACGACTGACGATATTCAGTCACCCCCCCCCACGAGGGTGTCATGTGGCACAAGGCCTTTTTAACGTGGGCATTCCCGAGCCATTAGGCTCGGCCAAAAATAGCCCATTTGAACCCGTATAAACGGGTTCAGGGGCCGGTTTTACCTCCCGAAGGAGGCTACGCCGAAGGGCGGAGTCTCCTTCGGGTTCCTCCGCCCGTAGGAAGAGAGTTGAACCGAACAGTCAGTTCAGAGGTGAACGACTGACAATATTCAGTCACCCCACGAGGGTGTCATGTGGCACAAAGCCTTTTTAACGTGGGAATTCCCGAGCCATTAGGCTCGGCCAAAAATAGCCCATTTGAACCCGCATAAACGGGTTCTGGGCCGATTTAACCTCCCGAAGGAGACTCCGCCCTTCGGCGTAGCCTCCTTCGGGTTCCTCTCGCCCGTAGGAAGAGTTGAACCGAACAGTCAGTTCAGAGGTGAACGACTGACAATATTCAGTCACCCCCCCACGAGGGTGTCATGTGGCACAAGGCCTTTTTAACGTGGGCATTCCCGAGCCATTAGGCTCGGCCAAAAATAGCCATTTGAACCCGTATAAACGGGTTCAGGGGCCGAGTTTAACCTCCCGAAGGAGACTCCGCCCTTCGGCGTAGCCTCCTTCGGGTTCCTCCTGCCCGTGGAAGAGAGTTCAAACCCAGCAGTCTGTTCAAAGGTGAGCGACTGACTCCTTGCCTACTCCTGAGGCACAGTAGTTATTAAGTATGGAATAGTTCATTATTATTATTATTATTATGGGTAAGATCCCATAACACTATCTATCTATCTATCTATCTATCTATCTATCTATCTATCTCAGTCTGTTCATTCACAAGGATTCGGTGACGCTTTTAGACTCCTGCCCAAATATGGCAACAGCACACCATTTTAGGCCCGGACTGGCTCTTTTTAAGTTAGAAGGTAGCATGAGGAGTCAGGTGCTTATTAGAATGGTACAGAGAACCGACCATTTACTCTCTAACTTTAGAGTGTACGAGTTCTACTTGATATCAGGGTGGGTTTAAGGCCGAATAGTCTTACAAGGTACGGAGCCTCCCCGAAGAAATAGCCATTCATCGTGTTCGGGTCCAATCGGCGATGGTGGAATATAAGTCGTACGGTTTTCGTGCCATTGTATATAATCAGCCAGTTTTTTTTCCGAAACTAAATTAAAATTAAGCTCCCGGACATTTCACAGTCAAGATGGAATCTCTTTAAAAAAATAAAAACGAACAAGTATTGGTCCTTCAAATTTTACTTAGTAAACAATTTTATTTAAAATGGCCTCCACCAGCTGTAATTGAAAATTTCCCACTATCTGTATTATTTTTTGGTTGTAAATTGAAATATTGTTTTTTCTAAACACGTAGCTATTTTAAACTAAAAAAATACTATTAATCTTTTACAATAAATAAATAAATAAATAATAAAAAAAATAAACATCTCAGCAAATTAGAAACGACAGGGTTATGACCTCATTATCCGCGGAATCGTTAACTGTCGTTTCACTTAACCGCCTTTGATGTAAACAACGAGATTTTCCTGTTCAAACGTTTATTAAACTAAAACTATTTTGCTAAGTATCTTTCAAAAGAATAATAGTGTAATTCTACTTGTTCCTCCATTAATTTGTACATTTTCCCGCCCCGCCATTAACCTGGATAAATGATAGACCATTTCAGATTTGATTGCGCTGAAAGATGGAATAAAAAGATCAGCTGCCAATCTCTGGTGATTACGAGTTTTGGAGGTACGCCCATATATCGTCGTATCATCGGCATAGATATTCCCAAATGATCTGAGTATACTCTTAGAGGAGATCATTTATATAAAGTAAAAAGAGGCTGGTCCTAAAATCTATCTATCTATCTATCTATCTATCTATCTATCTATGAAGTCATTAGTCATTTATTCATTCTACAATTCATTAGAAAGTTATTCTACAAATCATTAGTATTTAGTCATTCTACAAGTCATTTGTTAGACAGTCCACGTGTTATCAGTCAGTCATTCTACAATACTTTAGTCATGCATTCTACAAGCCATTAGTCATTTAGTCATTAGTCATTCTACATATTAGTCAGTCATTCAGCTAGTCATTAGTCAGTTATTTTACGAGGCACCAGTCAATTATTCTACAATTCATTAGTCAGTCATTCATTCACTTTACGTGCCATTAGTCACTTATTTTGCAAGTTATTAGATATTAGTCATTCTACAAGTCATTAGTTAATCATTCTAGAAGTCATCAGTCAGTAATTCTACAAGTCATTAGTCAGTCATACAAGTTATTATTCTTTTAGTCATACAAGTCATTAGTCATTTAGTCATTCTATAAGAAATTAGTCGGTCATTCTACAAATCATTAGTCTGTCATTCTCCTTGTTATTAGTCATTCATTTTACGAGTCATTAGTCAGTCATTCTATAAGTCAGTTAGTCATTTTACAAGTCATTGGTTGTTTAGTCATTCTACTAGTCAGTCATTGTACATGTCATTAGTCCATTAGTCATTCCACAAGTACGTCCTTAAGGAAAAAGTTTGAGAAGCACTGATTTAGTACATAAAAGTAAATAAACAAGCACTTAGACGCATATCAACACACATATACATATTTGTTTATATATATATATATATATATATATATATATATATATATATATATATATTTCATTAAATAATATAGACAAGTGGAAGCGAAAATCGCACCGCAGCTCATGACGTCACTTCCAGCATCTCGTATGCACGTATTTGTCGTTGCTTGGAAATCTTCCATGTAAACAAAAAGAGACTATCATTATTGTTTTGTCCGTGTATTGTTTAATATATTGTAATGTAATTGTTATCTTTCATAACGGCTGATGTAAGCCGAAAGCTTAGATTGGATTACAAAATATGAATCAATATTGTGATTTTCTTTCTCCTTTTAATGATAATATTATTAAAAAACATCAGACGATATGAAAAGAATTTACATAAAATAAATAGACAACACTTGTCTATATTATTTAATGAAACATGCATCAATGAAAAAATGCTGCCTAAATACACACATAATATATATATATATATATATATATATATATATATATATATATATATATATATATACCAAGTATATAATTGGTGTATACGGAATTAATTCCAATAACCAACAATTACTATTCTTAAAAGAGTGCTCAATACAAAGTAGAGCAGATATAATTATTAAAAAAAAAAATCATAACATATGTTATAAATTTTAAAAATTTTAAATATATATATATATATATATATATATATATATATATATATATATATATATATATATATATATATATATATATAGTGGTTAGAACGCTCGCTTCCTGAGAGACTCGGGTTCAAATCTCACTATGGTCGATTTGTCAGGAAGGCGATTTCCTGATGCTATCGGACTAGATTGAGTTCGATCCCAGCGTGCACATCAGAAAAGTGCCTGAAAACCATACCACAGGTTGACCCAAGCCTTGTGGGTGAAATGTTTGTGGGCCGTTGATAGCTGTTCAAGCACGAAGCCTCATGCCATCGTGGCCGAGACCTTCAACGTGCTGGCCTTATTCAAATTGTTGATCCCGCTAGATTAACCGCTTTCCCCCAGAAACTGTAACTAAGGTCTGCTCAGCATAGTTGCAGGTGGGCTCTGTGGATGTTGAGCTGTGCAATAGGGATTACCGAGCCACCCTTGTAGACGTATATCCTCGAATGCGTGTGGCCATTTCATATATATATATATATATATATATATATATATATATATATATATATATATATATATTATATGATGAAATGGACAAAGTCCGACAATTATTTTAAGATATTTTTGTGTTTATACATTCTTTTTATAGACAGGAACATTGACGTTCGACCTTGCTAACCGAACGCACCTCTGTGGCCAAATCGGTAAAGGCACGTCAGGCTATATGACGGTTCAGTATAGGATACAGGTTCGAATCCTGTCTGAGGACAAATATTTTCTGTGAAAATTTCTCGGACATTTAGGCCGCTAAATGTTGTTTGATACTGTTTATTATAAACAGAGCATTTACTTATATATATACTATAAAAAGAATGTATACACATAAAAATAAAATATATCTTTATATATATATATATATATATATATATATATATATATATATATATATATATATATATAAAAAGAAACAATCAGAAACAATGCTTAGAAACAGAAGTGGGAAACATTTTCAAAAAAAAAAAAAAAAGAGATAAGACGATGTGAAGAATGTGAAAAAAGTTGTTCTTTACGGTAGCCCTTTTAAATTAGAAAAAAATTAAAAAAAAAAATAAGACGATGGTTTTGAAACAAACGATAATCAAGAAAAAAAGTTAAATATATATTAAATCAATTAATCTTTAACGCCCGTTTTTTTTTTTTTAAATCAGTAATAATTGTTTTAACAGAGGACGGGAATAGCGACTCTGAGATCCGAAGACGTATTGGGATGACAAAGATGTCAGCATTTTATTAAAAGAAAGAAATATTTTCTTGGAAACAAAGAAAAAAATTACTGAACGTGATATCTCTCATTCTGTATGACAGTAAATGCTGCACAATCTCCTCAAAGATGAAGAGACGAAGTAAAAGCAATTTGGTTCTACAGAAGGATGCTGAGGACAGCATGAACCGAACATATGAGCAATAGCGAGGTTTTGGAAAGAAAAAAAAAAAAACTTATACTTAACTCCAGGAAGTTACAGTTGAAATATCTGTGACACATAATGAGGAAAGAAGGCCTGGAAATATTGATACTCACAGGACGGATAAAGGAAAAAACAACGCGGGACATACTAACTGGGCTTGACCAAATGTGTGGGTTTAGGAGAAATAACAAAGGCACATTCTTATTAAGAGCTACAAAGGACAGGAAGATGTGGAGGTCCATATTCGCCTACGTCATGAAGGGACACGACACATAAAAGAAGAAGAATCAGTAAGGCATCGGTTTTCGTTGTTATCAAATGTAGAAGTTGCAACATTGGCGAAATGTGTTGGCGTATTTTCTGTGGTAAAAGTGATTGATGCAACAGATTTGATCTGAAAGTAGAAAAAGAAAAATCCTGAAAAAATACTTGTATATAAATAAGAGGAAAAGAAAGTAAAGAGAGAAGTGAATTCGAAGAAAGAGGAAAAAGGAGAATAATTTAAAAAGAAAGAGAAAATAAGAAAAGAAAGCAAGAACGAACAATAGAAAGAAAAGAAGAAGAAAAAGAAAAAAAAAAGATGATAGTAAAGAGAGAAGTGAATTCGTTCGAAGAGGGGGAAAAGTAGAACTGACTAAAAAAAAAAGCGAGAACGAACAATGGAAAGAAAAGAAGAAAAAAAAAAAAAAAAAGATGATAGTAAAGAGAAAGTGAATTCGTTCGAAGAGGGGGGGGAAGTAGAACTGACTAAAAAAAAAAAGAAAGCGAGAACGAACAATGGAAAGAAAAGAAGAAAAAAAAAAAAAAGATGATAGTAAAGAGAGAAGTGAATTCGTTCGAAGAGGGGGAAAAGTAGAACTGACTAAAAAAAAGAAAGCGAGAACGAACAATGGAAAGAAAAGAAGAAGAAAAGAAAAAAAAAGATGATAGTAAAGAGAGAAGTGAATTCGTTTGAAGAGGGGAAAAGTAGAACTGACTAAAAAAAAAAAGAAAAGCGAGAACGAACAATGGAAAGAAAAGAAGAAGAAAAAGAAAAAAGATGATAGTAAAGAGAAAGTGAATTCGTTCGAAGAGGGGGGAAAAAGTAGAACTGACTAAAAAAAAAAAGCGAGAACGAACAATGGAAAGAAAAGAAGAAGAACAAGAAAAAAAAGATGATAGTAAAGAGAGAAGTGAATTCGTTCGAAGAGGGGGGAAAAGTAGAACTGAATAAAAAAAAAAGCGAGAACGAACAATGGAAAGAAAAGAAGGAAAAAGAAAAAAAAAAGATGATAGTAAAGAGAAAGTGAATTCGTTCGAAGAGGGGGAAAAGTAGAACTGACTAAAAAAAAAAAAAGCGAGAACGAACAATGGAAAGAAAAGAAGAAGAAAAAAGAAAAAAGATGATAATAAAGAGAGAAGTGAATTCGTTCGAAGAGGGGGGGAAATAGAACTGACTAAAAAAAAAAAAAGAGAACGAACAATGGAAAAAGAAAAGAAGAAGAAAAAGAAAAAAAAGATGATAGTAAAGAGAGAAGTGAATTCGTTCGAAGAGGGGGGAAAAGTAGAACTGACTAAAAAAAAAAAGCGAGAACGAACAATGGAAAAAAAAAAAGAAAAAAAAAAAAAAGATGATAGTAAAGAGAGAAGTGAATTCGTTCGAAGAGGGGGGAAAAGTAGAACTGACTAAAAAAAAAGAAAGCGAGAACGAACAATGGAAAGAAAAGAAGAAGAAAAAGAAAAAAAGATGATAGTAAAGAGAGAAAGTGATTTCGTTCGAAGAGGGGGAAAAGTAGAACTGACTAAAAAAAAGAAAGAGAACGAACAATGGAAAGAAAAGAAGAAGAAAAAAAAAAAAGATGATAGTAAAGAGAAAAAGTGAATTCGTTCGAAGAGGGGGGGAAGTAGAACTGACTAAAAAAAAAAAAAGCGAGAACGAACAATGGAAAGAAAAGAAGAAGAAAAAGAAAAAAAGATGATAATAAAGAGAGAAGTGAATTCGTTCGAAGAGGGGGGAAAAGTAGAACTGACTAAAAAAAAAAGAAAGCGAGAACGAACAATGGAAAGAAAAGAAGAAGAAAAAGAAAAAAAGATGATAGTAAAGAGAGAAGTGAATTCGTTCGAAGAGGGGGAAAAGTAGAACTGACTAAAAAAAAAAAAGGAGAACGAACAATGGAAAGAAAAGAAGAAGAAAAAGAAAAAAAAGATGATAGTAAAGAGAGAAGTGAATTCGTTCGAAGAGGGGGGAAAAGTAGAACTGACTAAAAAAAAGAAAGCGAGAACGAACAATGGAAAGAAAAGAAGAAAAAAAAAAAGATGATAGTAAAGAGAGAAGTGAATTCGTTCGAAGAGGGGGGGGAAAAGTAGAACTGACTAAAAAAAAGAAAGGAAACGAACAATGGAAAAAAAAGAAGAAAAAAAAGAAAAAAAGATGATAGTAAAGAGAGAAGTGAATTCGTTCGAAGAGGGGGGGGAAAAGTAGAACTGACTAAAAAAAAAAAGCGAGAAGGAACAATGGAAAGAAAAGAAGAAGAAAAAAAAAAAAGATGATAGTAAAGAGAGAAGTGAATTCGTTCGAAGAGGGGGAAAAGTAGAACTGACTAAAAAAAAGAAAGCGAGAACGAACAATGGAAAGAAAAGAAGAAGAAAAAGAAAAAAAAGATGATAGTAAAGAGAGAAGTGAATTCGTTCGAAGAGGGGGGAAAAGTAGAACTGACTAAAAAAAAAGAAAGCGAGAACGAACAATGGAAAGAAAAGAAGAAGAAAAAGAAAAAAAGATGATAGTAAAGAGAGAAGTGAATTCGTTCGAAGAGGGGGGAAAAGTAGAACTGACTAAAAAAAAGAAAGCGAGAACGAACAATAGAAAGAAAAGAAGAAGAAAAAGAAAAAAAGATGATAGTAAAGAGAGAAGTGAATTCGTTCGAAGAGGGGGGAAAAGTAGAACTGAATAAAAAAAAGAAAGCGAGAACGAACAATAGAAAGAAAAGAAGAAGAAAAGAAAAAAGATGATAGTAAAGAGAAAGTGAATTCGTTCGAAGAGGGGGAAAAGAAACTGACTAAAAAAAAAGAAAGCGAGAACGAACAATGGAAAGAAAAGAAGAAGAAAAGAAAAAAGATGATAGTAAAGAGAGAAGTGAATTCGAAGAGGGGGAAAAAGAACTGATAAAAAAAGAAAGAACGAACAATAGAAAGAAAAGAAGAAAAAAAAAAAAAGATGATAGTAAAGAGAGAAGTGAATTCGTTCGAAGAGGGGGGAAAAGTAGAACTGACTAAAAAAAAGAAAGCGAGAACGAACAATAGAAAGAAAAGAAGAAGAAAAAAAAAAAAAGATGATAGTAAAGAGAGAAGTGAATTCGTTCGAAGAGGGGGGAAAAGTAGAACTGACTAAAAAAAAGAAAGCGAGAACGAACAATAGAAAGAAAAGAAGAAGAAAAAGAAAAAAAAGATGATAGTAAAGAGAGAAGTGAATTCGTTCGAAGAGGGGGGAAAAGTAGAACTGACTAAAAAAAAAGAAAGCGAGAACGAACAATGGAAAGAAAAGAAGAAGAAAAAGAAAAAAAAGATGATAGTAAAGAGAGAAGTGAATTCGAAGAGGGGGGAAAAGTAGAACTGACTAAAAAAAAAAGCGAGAACGAACAATAGAATGAAAAGAAGAAGAAAAAGAAAAAAAGATGATAGTAAAGAGAGAAGTGAATTCAAGAGGGGGAAAAGTAGAATTGACTAAAAAAAAGAAAGAAACGAACAATAGAAAGAAAAAAGAAGAAAAAAAGAAAAAAGATGATAGTAAAGAGAGAAGTGAATTCGTTCGAAGAGGGGGAAAAGTAGAACTGACTAAAAAAAAAAGCAAGAACGAACAATGGAAAGAAAAAGAAAAAAAAAAAAAAAAAAGATGATAGTAAAGAGAGAAGTGAATTCGAAGAGGGGGGAAAAGTAGAACTGACTAAAAAAAAGAAAGCGAGAACGAACAATAGAAAGAAAAGAAGAAAAAAAAAAGATGATAGCAAAGTAAAGGGCGAGGTAAATTCGAAGAGGGAAAAAGAAGAATTGATTAAAAACAAAGAGAAAATAAGAAAAAAAAAAGGCGAGAACGAACGATAGAATGAAAAGAAGAATAAAAAAGAAAATAAGAAAGATGATAGTAAAGAGAGAGGTGAATTCGAAGAGGTGGAAAAAGACGGATTATTAAAAGTAAAATGCAAATAAAGAGAGCGTAAAAATATTGGAATTGTGCAAAAGACAGTGAACGTGCGATAGAAGTATAGAGAGACAGTGTGTGTGTGTGTGTGTGTGTTTGAAAGAGAGAAAAGAAAGATCCTTAGATCCATATCTGCATGTCCGCGCGGCTGTCTGTGAATACACATGTGTTTATACTGCAGCTTGTTCCCCGTTCTATCCAGCGGCTGAGAGTACGAGCAAGTGAAAGAGTCGCCAATCAGCCAGGCAACTTGGCTGTGCGCGTACTGACACAGACACGACAAGAACTCTCCACTACCGCTACTATTGTCAGTTTTCAT